GAGGCTTTTTGCCCATCTTTAAACACGGCGTCATCGTTTGAAGCATTTCGAGAAGGGCTTTGGAAGGACAGCATTCAGAAGTTTCCCATGGAGAACAGCCGTATTGCATTTATACCGCCAGGAATCTAGGCCACATGCTTGGAAAGTACAAACTCGCTCCAGTCTTCGGTTCTACACCTCACGGGATGATGAGGCCTCGCTTTGGCTGGCTGTGCGGCCCGACCGCCACACTTTTGATTCTCAGGTGAAAAATCGTATGAAAACTCACATTACCTGGATGGCAGCAGCGAGTGACATGATGGTGCACTCTGTCCTGTAAGATAAAGCGAACACGTTTGTGAAAGGGACTTTATGTTTGCTGTGCATCAAAATGTTCCAGACAGATGGCCTCGGCAGTCGTGTGCAGCTTGCAAACATGGCGTGAAGAGAGTCTAAATGAAGTCATAGAAACTAAAATAATGAAGAGAAACACAAAATGCAACTAAGAGTGATTATGGAGGGGCACTACACACTAGAGGTCTCACACTACCGAAATGAGTCGACGACAGAGTTGACAAGTTACAGTTAACAGCAAAGATGTGGGACGGTTATTTCTCGCAAAACAACACTTGCGATTTGCAGAAGTGTTTGCAAAACTAGTTTTACACCTACATGCTAAAATTTTATTTTTTTTCCCCATCGCAGCAAACGAAAGAGAGGATATGAAGAAGATGGCCATGTAGCAAAAGAACCACGGTTGGTAGAAGAGGTGAGGCAGGCCAACATTATTCTCAGTTTAACGTTTTTGTTTTTTTTAAACAATTCTTTCTAAATCTAGACTTTTATTTCAGGAATGGACTGATGAAGACCTCATCTAGACTTGTGCAACTGAGCAGAGTTTAAAGTTATTATATATACACATTAATTCCAGTGTTTTACTGTAAAGGGATGTGACATAAATTCAAGTGTTCGTGTCATAATTGCAGTCAGCTGTTTGTTTGCTCTCTCTTCTGCTTTTTTAATAAAGAGTTTTCTACATATTTCTATGTCACATGACACCATGTGCACACATTTCTCCTCCTTCAAATCAGGAGACCAAAAGAAAAACCCACTCCGTAATCTACTTTACAAAAACAGTTTAATGAGTGCATGCATGTCTGATACAGTCTGTACTATCCCAATTTTTTTTCTTTTTACTGCTGTAAACACTTTTGTTTTACTTGGTTTCTCTGATTATGTGTCTTGAAGTTTCAAAAAAAAACTGGGTAAAAAAAAAAAAAAAAAAAAAGCCTCAACCAGATAATCAAAAAATAGCTGATACAATTATTGGGAAAAATGCAGCTCTTCTCATGTATATACTCATGATTCCAGCAAGAGAATTTATTAATATAAAATAACCATACTTTTCTTTTTTTGAAAGACTTTGTTCCAATCTAGAAAAGAAAAACAAAAACAAACCACAGACATACAGAGATGCTTGTTTCAGTACTTTGCAGATATTGTCACCACCTTCAAATAAGTCACTAATTACAAAAAAGCATCATCTCTTGTAATCCAGTTTCCAGTAAAGGGGTCTGAGGAAAACTAGCATCTCCTTGTCAGTTTCCTCATATTGAGTAGGAGGGGAGGGGTGGGGGGCACTTTGGCAACCTGTGCTATTGAAAACATACTGGGTACAAAAAGCCCCTCTCAGCATTTGGCCTCAGTGATGAAAGGAATAAATGTACCCAAATCACAGTTAATGGAGGAGGGGAACAAATATTTGCATTGTGCATACAGCTGTCAGTTACTGGTGCAAGTTCTTTGTTTGTTTTTTATTTATTTTTTAAAGTACGCCGTCGCCTGTTGTACTCAGCTGCTGTTGTTGCATAGCTCTCTTGTGGTGAACGAGACAAGATGGCAGGTGGGTGGGATGGGCGGGACTATCAGAGGAAGATATGATGGAGAATGGTGGATGGGTTGCCATGGTGATGAGGGTAGAGCATGCCATGTCTCCACCGGGCTGCACTCGGAGACTTGACGCAAGGATGGGGAGGATGGGAGGAGAGGAAGAGTGCAGTACTACCTGTTGCTGTTGGACATGGCATACTGAGCCTGCTTCTGCTGGAGGAGCTCTGTGATGGCCAGCATCTTTTTCAATACATGCTGCGGAGATCAAACGGGGAGATAAATGAGCCTCGTGAAACGGGACGGCATTAATCGATGTCTGTGTGCGAGAATGTGGCAGCAGTCTCTAACCTGTCCTGAGCCCCTCTCGTTGCTCAGCGTCCGGAGCTCGTCTGAGTGTGTGGCACAGATCTCGTGCAGCGCGGCCAGGTCCCGGGACAGGTCCGTCCTAAAGTGCTCCGTGGCTTCAGGGAGGTCAGGCACATTCTAGAAACACAGTTAAGAGTTTCTTAAAGTTTTTCAAAGCTTATGAAAAGGTTATTGGCTCTACAAAATGTAAGAAAACATTAAAAGGTATCCTTTTATAATTTCCCTAAGGCCAATGTAGTATTTAAGCTACTTTCTTAATTTGACCAATAGTCAAAAAGCAGCATGACATACCGCCCACTCAATTTAGAGCTTTTGTCAATGTAAAGAGATGTAACTACACACTGAATTGCTAAGATATCTTAATAGTACTTTACTTTTACTTTATAAAACTAAAAAGCATTTAAATCCACTAATCTTTTGAACTTTCGGCAACAAATGTGACTCACCCCCAACTCGTCCAGAAACATGATCATCCTGTGTTTGTTGTTTTTGATGAAAGGGTTTACACCCTCCATGTAGGGTTCCTGTTCGTGAGCAGAGACAACCGTCAAATCCAGACAAATCTCGACACGTGCCTTCCTATAAAAGCTGAATGAAAGAATTCATACCTTAGCACCAAATTCAACCAGGTTAGCCAGATTCTGGACAGACTTCGCCACCAGTGTGAGGGTCCTGCCTGCTGTTGAAGATGGAGGATCTGCAAAAGGGAACAGTAGTGTCAAATGCACAGTGGCAAGTCACAGAGTGAGCAAAGATGATATGGTGTGTGCGCTTTTCAGCAGATGCTCACCAGAAATGATGTTGAACATTCTGGGATTGAGGATGGCGGGGCAGATCAGTCTTAGAAAGACAAAGCCACTAGAAAAGGAATCGATAAGCATAATAAGATATTGAAATATAATAAACAAACATTTATACTCTCAAAGAAAATCAGTGTTTTTTGGCAGTTTGTCTACCTTACAACTCTCGTTCGCATGGTGGTGTTGGTGGGCCACTTCTGTTGCACAGACTTCTGCAGACAGCCGTAGATGTACCTCAAAGTACTGAAAAAGTAATTATAGAGACACCTGAATTGGTTTTTTTTGGGGTTTCTTGGACTTGTGGTTTGATTTTCTGCTGTGTGAGGGTAAATGAGCTTACGGTGGAAGGATCTCAGCAGCCATGAAGATCTTCTCCACCAGCTCAGACAGTATGTTGAGGAGATGCCCCAGATTCATATTCACATCTTCATTCTTTTCCAGTTTTGAAGGGTTCAACTTAAAAACAATTTTTTAAAAAGGTAGATTTAGGCCGAGATTTGGAGGGGAAATAGACAAATAAATTCAACAAGATAAATATTTCACCTTATTGTACAGTATCAACACTTAATGCAACATTTTTAGCAGGCGTTTACCTCGCAGGACTGTTTGCTCTCCATGATTTTGAGGATGGTGTCTTTGAGCGCGTGGTGGACGAAGGGTGTTGCTGTGGCCTTCATGTACTGCTCCATCAGTGTGCTGGCCAGTGTAGTCGCTCTGAACAATGTTGTGGCCTCATCTGGTAGTAATGCATAAGCAGAGAAGAGTTTTTAAAATGCGTGGACACAACAACTTACCGGTTACTAAGCAACAGGAGTGTCACTTATAGCTTTCAATGAAATGATTCTTTCATAATTCTTTAAGTCCAATTTATTTAGATGCCTAAGCCTTCCTATCTTTGGATCACAAGAGCTGTGACTCCTACCCTCCATGCTAATCTCTCTGTCATTGAGTGTCCTGAGTAGTGGGGCTTCAGTCTTCTCGTGCCTGAAGATCCGCAGGAGGAGACTTGCCAGTAAGGAGCGGTCCTGACCGCACACATGTGCCAAAGCATAGACGACATAAAACTCCTTCTGCAAGATTATCTGCAAAGGATGCACAACAAGGACATAATATGAAGTCAACAACCGAGTAGACAGTTAATAGACGTTGCAATCAAAGCCACTTTTCAGTGGTTCAGACCTCCTTGAATTCGTTGTACTCCTCTTCGGGCATGATCTTCTCCACAGAGTAGCGGGCACGTACGCGTAAGGAGCCCGGCTCAATGCCCTTCAGAGGAACGTAGGAGCTGAGAGGGAACCACTCGTCAATCATCTGGCCTTTTTGCAGCCGGTTTAGCTGGCAGCGCATGAACACTGAGAAGGGAAGAGACATTGAGGCATCGATGAACACGGAGAGAAAAGGGTAGATAACGTAAATAAAGTAAATGCAGATTTGAATCTGTTTTAAAACTTGAAGCAGTTACTTACAGATGTCATTTTCTTTACTCTTTTTCGTTTTGTTGCTCAAGCTGATTTCAAATCTGTTAATTTCACTGGACAAGTCACTGAAACAACAGAGATAAACATATCATTCTCTAAACCAGGAACCACACACACTGCTCATTTCAAATGTACAGTACCGGTATTCAAGTGCATTGTTTTCAAAGTCATCTGTTAACATATGTACATATAAATGTGAATATGCTTTAATCTGTTTGTGTATCTTGTTATGTTGCCACATTAATGTTTTGGATTGCTATGTAGCAAACACTTCAACTTCACTAACATCACATGCACAGCATTTCAGCCCCAATTGTAAAACAATAACCACATTTACATGGAATATAATACTAAAAAAAATGAGAAAGAAATTGTAGTCTGTGAACAAATTGTTCACTTGGTTTCAGGCTGTGTTCCTCCTTTGCGTGCTTTTGTATTTATATAAATGCCAGGTCATTTACATTACTGCAGACTGAGAGCTCAGAAGAATCAAAAGAGCAATAATAGCAACTACAATGCCATACAGATGAGAGATATGTCTTCAAGTATCTATTCAGATAAACATCACAGATGTTAGATGTGTATTTTTTGCATGTTACACTTTTCTAGTTCATTGCATGTGCAGCCCGTGAGAAACAAGAAAAAGCATTTTATTAAAGGGTCCACCAAACATACAACTTAAGGACAAAAGCTGAGTTGTAATTTCAGCTACATTTACATGTCAAATAATTCAAACAAAAAGGTGTGTGTGTGTGTTTTCCAGAGTGTAAGGCCTCTGCCTGCATTAACAAACCAGATGAAAAACACTGCATGTATGTACACCACTGACTCAAGGGTTCAGCTCATCTCTGCCACTCACTGAACAGAGCAGACACAAAAAGATGTGCACCTTTGGCAGGAGAGCAAGAACCCTGCTCAAACAGCGGCACTGGCCACAGTCCAAGACTCTTTGTCGCTATAGTGACATGAAAAGTTGCTAAATCAGGCTGGAAGCTGCTTAAGCAACAATGAGATGAACTGAAGCATGACATGTACTCTGCGAGTGAGAGGGATGTCAGTCGCATGAGCTAATATCCAAATGACAAAAGTGTAAAAACAACAACAACAAAAAAACGATGTTCAATGCCATCGGTGCAGCTTGTTTATTCAGTGACAATGTTAATGTGTACGGCCATAAAGGTAATCACCGTACTTTCCTGTTAACTATGCCACTCCTACATGGTCCTGGGGCAGATTCACTTTGCAGACTTTCAACAACATCAACCTCAGTCTTATCTGTGCTCTCTCAAACAGTGGTAAACATTGGCACTACACTGGCTATATAGCATGATGCTAGTATGCCATGAAGTGATTCTAAGCAATAAAAATAGCTGGAAACATTAGGAGGATAAAACATGAAGGGAGAAACATAACAGCAAAAGCCAAAGGAGAGAAATAAACAAGTACAACAAACTTACTCAAAGATGAATTCCTCAGTGAAGACGGGGTTCTGCCCCTCCCGTGGGTGCGTCTTAGCAACCTGGACACTGTTCAGGTAGATGTTACAGTAGGGGTTGGTGAAATACTTCGCTGGCAACTTGTGCGCCTCCTCCACGTACAGCACCAGGCTGCTCACCTGAAAGACAGCAATAAAGATGAAAACATATGCACTGATGGGTTGCAATAATTAGATTTCCTGATATGCCATGACATTTGAGGAGAACCTCGTCAAACTACTGAATTAATCTTTAATCAAAAAATTATAACAACTGCCTCATCACAGAAGAATTAATATACAAGCCATTTTAATAATCAGTGTTTAATCTTTCACAATATTATTATGTTTTGATACATTTTAAACTTTAAAATGTTGATGTCACAATTGCAGCCCTCTCTTGCTCATACACCTGAATGAGAGCTGCCTCTTTATTCACTGGATTTAATCTTCTGCTGTGTTGCTTTGCCATCATGACCACACACTGGGTGCTGCTATACAAACCTGTCTAAGCCTCTTGTTGGAGGTGGGCTGAGTGGTTTTCCTTAGGTTATTACAGAAGGTTTGAAGGCATTTCATCCAATCCTGCAGAAAAAAGGAAATAAGAAAATGTACACTGTGTGTACTCATTTATTCCACGAAAAGGAATAAAATGAAAGTCTCATTAAAATTTCTAACTGGTGGCCACATGCATCTGGAAACTGAAAATGCTTTGTGGTCCCAAACTTATCTAAGACAAAATATACTATAATGAATATATTACAATATAAAACAAGAGAAAACTGCTGTCCTAAAGTAAACCTGTTCCACCAGCGCTACAGTGTAAATGTGTAATCCTACAGTGAAACAACACTGCCACCATCAGGTCAAACTGAAGCTACAGCAATAAGTCTTTCATTTTCGAGCATTTTTATGAAATTGCAGAAAGATTTTAAATCAAAGAACTGAGGCGTGATTAAAGTGGTGTTTCACCTCTAATTCAAGGGTTTTGATAAACGATGCAGTATGTTCGTGAACTCTTTCCTTCCTTCCTACTTTTCTCTTCCCAGCATTCTAACTTCCACTTTAGACAATGATACATGAAAGATAAAATAAATAATGGAATAAATTTGCACTCTGATCTAGCAGAAGACAAATGGAAAGAATACCAGTCGGTTGAGTTCTACGAAAGTAGATAACGATGTTGAAATCCTTTTTCTTTTAGAGAAGCACCCTTCAGCTCTCAAAAAAATAAATGTATTGGTATAAAAATATTTATAAGAATGTGTATGTGTTTCTGCCTTGTTTGACCATTTTCTGTGACAGTAAAGTGCTGACTCTCCGTTTACCTGTGCCTGCTCTGTAGCCTCTCCTGCAAAGTAGAATATGTACTGTTCCTCGCTAAAGTGCTGGACAACAATCTGGAAACAGTTTGGCCTGAAAAAGTAAAGCAGAAGACAACATGCTTTAAAGATTAAAAATAATTTCCATCTATACAATGTCTACACAACTGCTATCATTAAGCATTGAGATTTCAAAGTGTAAAAAAATGAAACCACTGATTAGATTTCAAAGCCCGACCTGCCAAACAGACTGTCGTGCACGCCGTAGACGGAGCACACGCTTAAGTCGATCAGCCCTTTGGGTTTCGTGGCTCTTTTCTCGTTTTCAAAATAGATGAGCTGTGCGTCATTACCCTCCAGGATAAAGTAAAGGTTCTTCCACCGTTTGCCTTTGCCTGTGGGAGAAATCAAAGTTTAGACTCTGAATGAGATAATAGTTACTCACGATATTACAAGATAATAAAAGCCCAGACAAAACGAGCCAACGTTACACAAACCTTTATTGATCAGGAGGTAGCCTTTTTTGACAATGTTTTTGTAAAAAGCATCTTTTGTTTTCCGTCTGATAGTGTTATAAATTTCTCTCCCGTCCACTACGTCAGTCAGAACCTGTTCCTGGTGCTACAGCAAATACAAAAACAAACACCGTATAAGGACAGAGGTAAAATGACATCATTCAAACGACCAGCTTACATCGCTTTTCTCTGTCTGTTATGTCTATTGATTAAGAGAAGTGTGGATGATTTTTATTAAAAATTACATTTACTGTTCACTGAGAGTCCAATCATATTAAAATGTAGTACTTTACCATATTTAAGGTTAAGTCCTCCACCTTGCATTCATTTAAGCTCTAAAACTTCACCTCAAATATCAACAAAATGACATCTCAGAAAAAAATTTTTGTACACTGCCTTTCCAAGGTGGCACAAATGCTAAACCCTGATATCTTCAGAGACACACACACAAAAAACAAAACACACTGTCGAATGTCATTTTGCTAAGTCAAAAATACAGTGAGGTTCACTATATGACGTTAGCATATAACTGTGCTTACCTGCACTGAAACAGCTTCTTTTAAGTTGTAACCCTCAACAATCTGTTCTTTCTTGTAATGGTCGATGATGTCATCAACACTGCCAGAGAGAAAAGACACTCAGCTCATCAGTAACTACGTCGGCATCCTTAATATGTGCTGATGCTGCATTAAAGAAATGCTACAGTTATACTGCAACTTTCTTTATATAACTGTGTTGCATCGCCACACTGAAGGCAGCCACACTGGCAGACATACCTGTTATAGTACCTCCCCCCCATCACGTATTGATTGTTAGGTGTGGGGGAGATCTTAAACCTTTGGATGTTTTCATTGGTGCGAAAAAAGAGGGAGTAGTCGCCAGGTGTGTTGTCTGAAGGCCGGACTAGAAAACCGCACACTTGACCAACTATGAAATTAAAAGGTGCAAAAGAAGCAGAGTGAAGGAAAAAGAGACGTTTAGATAATGTTCACAACATATTTGGGACAAAAAGAAACTGTAAAGTCTGCAGTGCTGAGTGAAAGTGTACCTGTCATCAGAAGGTTGTAGGCCTCTTGCTTGGTGATCTTTCCGTGATACCAGCTATAGGAGAGCAACAGAAGGAAAACAGACTGAATTAACGAAATCAACCGAATGCTCAGTAGTGTTCACATGTCTAAAAGACAAAGCAAACTAGGCGTATGGATGCATTTTCTGCAATAATAAAATACAGTAATACAATTATGTGTGATAAATTATTATAACAGACAGGACAGATTTTTATGGAAGAGAACAGATGTCAGACAGTAAGTCAGTTCAGTGCCATGGAGCTTACACTTTTCCCTCATGTGGATCCTCCTCACGGCCCTGAAAATGATCACAAAAGAAATGTCTGTAGTTTTTACAATGTCATGCAATTATTTTGTGTATTCATATATCCCATCCCAACTGTGGGTGCTATGCTTTTGCCTACTTTAGTGTCCTATATTGCAGTCACCTCACAGCGCTAGTGCAGTGCTTGTTTTTAATGCACACTACTGTGCAGATGCCACTATTAATTTTGTTTGTTTTTTTTCCCACCGAATTTACTTTTATTGTTTGATAAAGATCTTTTGAAAAATAAGGTGATATGAGCTTCTCAATGTCGGGCCGTACTTACCACCTCCTCCACCAAATCCTCCACAATGAGCCCCTGCTCCTCTGTGCGAACATTGCTCACCCACATCCAGCCATCTTCCAGTTCATTGTGAACAATAAACATGTCCCCTTTAAGGAAGCTGCAAATAGATCAAGTCAAGTAAGAAAGACTTTATCCAACACTATCTGTATCCCATTGTCGCTCTGTAAGGGAACTATCATCTCAACTGTGATTTAATGTGAAGTTGGGATCAGTAAAGTGAACACATATACAGACAATAATAATTTAGTGTGGAAATAAAGCGTTACTAGAATCTGAAGTAGCGCTGTGCCATATCATTTTGTTCATGATAATACCAGCATAATTTTTTTACACAATATAAAAATGTCATATCTCAATATCATTGCTATAGCAACGTCATGTATTCACAGTACACCCAACGAGACAAGTCCGGGCATGTCTGAAGCAAGAGCCTTGTATCAGGCTCCAATGACGATTTAGACTCCACCGAGCATCATCAGACCAAAATACTAAATTTTGCTCTACAAGGGCCTGATATCCACTTATAAGAACACTGCCACTGTTCTAT